TATTTGAAGTTCTCTAGATTCATTGGAGTCGTATTTGCTTTCATTTACTCTCATGGCTGCTGACTCCAGCGGAAATTCCTGCACCAAGTTTGTCTTTCTGCCCCTTTTTTTTTTTTGGCTACTGCAGCTCGTCATGGTGGGGCAATGCAAATCAAAGGCATACAGTCCGGCGTCTGCAGCTTGAAGGCATTAATTGCATTCTGCAGCATCACATTGCACTTTCAATTAGTTGCAAATGCCTTAGCTCCCAGCCCCTGCAGTTCGTTCGGCCCCTTCTGTGTGGCTGCAACGCCGTTGGCAAAGTAACAGGAAACGGAAGTTAAGTGCTGAGGCGAGGCGTTAAGTAAAATCAACCCCCGGCCCCCTTCCGCCCACCCGACTGCAGATGAAAGCAGCAACAAAGCGGCTGCCCAGCCATGACATTGGAGAATTATGCATTAATTGAAAGGCGATTCGCAGGGATGTGCCCCGACTTACGCATAGGTGCAACAACTTTGACAGCAAGTAGATTTGTTTTGGCAGCTCCAGAAAGTTGACCCTCACAGCTACTGTCTGCCGTTGCCGTTGCCGCTGCCGCTGCAGTTGCAGTTGCAGTTGCAGTTGATGCAACTTAAGTTCCCCTTCCATTGCATGCACTTTGCTGCCGGGCATTTTCCTTTCTCCCAATGCAAATAGTCAACTGTCTGTCTCTGTTTCTGTCTCTTTCTCTCTCTCTACTGCTTGCTGCCTGCTGCATTTCAAAATAGATTTATGGTTTTCTTTCGTCTTGCATTTCGAGGTGTTTGTCAGGGCTCTCTCATTAGGGTTGGCTCGTGCTTTTTGTTGGCTTTGGCCGCACACTCATTTGTTTGTTTTGAATGTTAATTAAGGCTTACGATTACCAAAATTGGCTCAAGGGGTTTGTTTCTCTTACATGTTTCTATCAATTTGCATGAGTGGAGTTGAGAAATGTAATTCTGTAAATGGATTTATATCAAAACTTTGTGGACTCTGATGAGCAATTATTTTATTTCGTTTCACATTGTATTTGCAAATTGTTTTTATTGCATTTATATTTTATATTTATTTTAAAAATCATTGAAAAGGTAATTTCACTCTGTTTCTTGTTTTATATGTAAATCCTCACTGTTATTTACAGTAATCTGTTAGCAATTACATTTAGGCATTTACTGCCTAACTCTATATCAATATATTTATCCATTGCTCATGGGTATAAATTTTGTTGCTGGCTCAGTAAATCTTGCGATTATTTTCTTATCACAGTTTTTTTCAATTAGCTAACACCGCTTCGGCAGGAGTGGGACAGAGAGTGTGAGAGTAAAGTGAGAGCGAGTCTCAGCTTAAGTAAGCGACGTGCACACAATTAAAGGCAATAAATTTGCACATAAGACCATAAATCAAAGTCCGATCATAATCGCAAAGCGCCAAGCAAAACACAAACAAAGCCAAACACAATCCTAGAAAAACAGCGAGCGAGAACTTAACTTCCTGACTATCGTATGGACTCGTGCATATATAGTCAACCCCCATTCAGTGGACCCCAATCGACCGCAGTGAGCTTTCTCTGGCTACTCACTACGGACTGCGAACTGCGTTTATTAATTGTACAACTGTCTCCAATCATAATTAATGAACTTTGGGCACATCCTCTCACAGACTCGCATGTCCGCTCGGAATTCAAATAAAACTAAAGTCGTTGTAACACAAATGTATTTTGGCACACCATAAATCTTCGGTTTGGCAAATCTCTTCTGGGTATTCGCTGTCTAATGGCTGACAGTTTCAATTAGGCACATTAAAGGATTTTCTAAGGCTTATTCTCGCTTGTTTTATGAGTTTCTAATTCAATGTGAGCTTATATGAATCGAACGAAGTTTAAAGCACTTTTTTCGGAATATTGTTCACTTTAAAAGTGTTTAGTATTTTGTTGAATTTAAATTTCGAGGGGAACAAGGAAAATTAGCAGAATATATATATATATATTTCTTGTTTTCAGTTTTGATTAAAAATATTGGATATAATCTTTAACTTATACAAGAAATCAATTAAAATCGATATGGGGCCATAGTTCAATCGATAACTTTTCTAAGTTATCTATTAAACGACTATTTTCCCATTTCATAAGTCACATTAGTTATATTATATTAATAGCACAAAGTAAAGTAAGAAATTCTTCACTTCTTGAATGCCTTTACCCATTCCATTTAAAATAGAATAAAATGAAATCGAGATTTTCTGCAAATAATCTTGAGGGGTACTCATGGAATAATCCACTTGCTATTATCAAACTCGTGCACTCTTATTTACATATCAATTCAATGATTCTGATTTGAAGCATTACGTCCTCTTGGTTTGCTGATCTAAAAAAGCGTCAAACACTTCATAATGCTCACACACATAGACGCAGATATTGAGTGTAACTAAATGCTAGATCTATTAAGCTAAGCTGTACTTGTGCATCACCAGTTAAAGCTAATGACTTGCAATAAATAATTTTCAGTTAACAAAAGAAGCCACAGAGAATTTGCATATGAATGCCTGGTATCTCTTATGGATGGAAAATGTCGTAGCCTCCTTTCAACCCCTCAGCCCTCATAGCTGGTGAAAAATTGGACAGCTATAGCAAACAGCAAGCACACATGATTACCATTTGAGAGTCTGAGACTCACTTCAGGGTTGGGGATTTAGGAACAGACCTTTTCTATATACAAACAGCTAATGACTAATGATGCGACAATTTATCTTGACTGATTTGTAAGCAAGTGTTAATGTTTTTTAATCTACGTTACGTCTCTTGCACTATGTAACACCATCCAAATCCCCCTGCTCACCGCCCACCGCCCACCTACCACGGCTCACACATGTGTGCATAATTACTTAGACTGAAAAGAGCTTTTGTCATCGTTTTCAAATTATATTCAAATTCTGCCAACGCGGACTCCACTGACAACGCTGATAAATGAGCCACTGAAGGAAAACTCAACTCAACTTGCCTCGCTGCTCTATGAAAAATTAACGCAATTTTCTTATTTGCATTTAAGCTCGGCGAGCAAGTGGTCGTATCATAAGAGCTACTCCTGATAATTATGTGGGATTTGCATATGTAATTTTCCACGCTAATGCCTGCGACTGCAAAGTCATTCAGATTTGGATTGGACTTACTCTGGGTTTCTTGTAGGCAAAGTGCTCGTAAACTCTCTCTCTCTCCCACTCTCTTTATGTTTCTCTTTCTGTTTCTATTCATTGTTGCATGAGAAATCACAATTGTGAAACATTAAGAAACCTATTCATGTTTTTAGTCTATAACAAATTTAGATTAAGCGTAAAAACTGGCAATTAAGTGTGTAGAATATGTTCACTTTAGTGTCGTTAACATTATGGCATCTAGAAGTAAGAGTCTACTTATAGCTCTACTTCATTTACATGTTCTTCTCATGTATTCCACCAACAAATTTGTAGTATTATAAATATAGCACTATAAATATAGAGCTCAACCTATTTATATATCTAAGAAATAAACGTATTTTAGCAGGAAATGTTCGACTGGAAAACACCCAGAATCGTGTATTTAATATTTCACTTAAATACATGTGCATATCTTATATATTTATATACGATTTCTATGTATGTATATCATGACATATAGTTGTCAATGTTCTGCTTATGTGCCTTTACCATTCCATTTCCAAACTAAACTGTCGATGTAAAATATCATCAAGTGCGCAAATAAATCTAATGCAATTACCTTAAAAGCGCCAAACCATAAAAACATATATGCGCTGACTGCATTTTACAAAAAAAAAAAAAAAAATAAAGAATACCAAGATTTTTATGACATTTACGCGCGGTAATAAAAACTAAACAAATTCCCATTTTGATACGAAATGCGAATGGCGCCAAGTCCGAGCCGAATCCGCTGCTAACTGATTGATGAATTGCTCTAGTGGTTGCGGGTTTTAATGGCTTACAAGGGGCGGCTTGGCTGCCCTGGGCTGGGCGTGGCTGTAACGAGACATCTTTTATGTGGCCCACAGACATGGGCCAAAAAACTAATTACCTCTCTTGGACCTAGAGCTCGTCAGCTTTTTAACGGCGTCCGCTTTATAGACGCAGCCATAGACGCTGCGGTTTGGTACTTGCCAAACATATATAGTCAAATATATATATGTATGCGTATATAGTTTTAATGGCATTTTGCATACGATTTACAATTTGTGCTGCACTGCATCGATAAAGGGACGACCCTTCTGGTTCTCGCAGCACATTTACGACATTTTGTGCGAGAGACCAGCCGGCAAATTTGACGCATAAAAACGCATCGTCGCCAGCATAAAAGTGGCTTGAAAGTTTTTCGGGAATGTGTAGCAAATATATTTCCCTATAAATGTTATTCATAGTGCCAAAGCCGGCAGCAACTGCCTGGAGCAGGGGCTACAGCTCTGCTCTGCGCTGCTCTGCTTGGATAACTCAAAATGTGTGAAAAGGTTTTTGACATTTGTGGGCAACAATGCAGAATTTATGGCTGGAAAATGTCTTTTTGGATTTTACTATTAATTATGATTGGACAACAGTTAGAGATATCTTTTGATAACTGTTAGGGATATCGTTGAGTCTGTAAAGTTAGCTTAGGTTTTCATTAGAGAATAATTTAATAACAGAATTCAGTAGTTATGCTTTACTCTGCATTTATTTATTAAACATAAAAAAACTTTTCGAAATATATATTTTATATTTTATATTTTTATTTTTTTGTTTTGTATTTTATATTTTGTTTTTTATATTTTATATTTTATATTTTATTTTTTATATATTATATTTTATGTTTTATATTTGATATTTTATATTTTATATTTTATATTTTATATTTTATTTTTTATATTTTATATTT